ATAGAGTAGGGTAGGGTAGGAGAATAGAATAGAGTAGAGTAGAGTAGAGTAGAGTAGAGTAGAGTAGAGTAGAGTAGGGTAGGAGAATAGGGTAGGGTAAAGTAAGAGAATAGAATAGAACAGAATTATTTATTGGACAAGTGATTGGACACACAAGGAATTTGTCTTTGGTGCATAAGCTCTCAGTGTACATAAAAATACATTCAGAAGATACAACACTTAGTGATAATCATAGTGTCAGAGCGTTTGCAGCGTGACTACCATTATGAAACAACCCAGGAGCAAAACACAACACGCAGAGGCTTAAACTTTTAACAGTGGTGGTTTATCTACAATAGAGTTATTATACAGAAATATACGTGGTAGGCAAAATAACTTGCAAGCAGGCACAAGTTCTTCTTAACTCTTACATGGAGAACTCTGCAATGAATACTGGACACAAGGAGAAAGAACCACGCCCTCTAATGGCTGCGATATACTGTATAAACACCTCTTAAAAGGATATTTATTCCCAGTCTTGAAGGGAAATACCCCATGCTATGCTTTCTTATTGCATCAGCAGCTGTTCACTGCTGGTCGGCTCTTAAATCCCAAAACTTTAACACATAGGTTACTAATAAGAATAAGTCTTTATTGATTAGCCCTTGGGCCATATCAAAGTGCAAAATTCCAGCAACAATTTGTTAGTAAAATTTAATAAAAGCAATTCCAAATGAAATAGTAATAAAATACTATTTAAAATGGACCTTGATAAAATACAATTTAAAATGGAATCTAGACCAAATAGTAATAAAATACAATCCAAAATAAAATTGTAATAAGGTACAATAATTTAAGATATAGATAAAAAGGTTACTAATAAGCAACCAAATCATCATCGGAAACAAATAAAACAATATAAATTGTAAAGATACAAGCAATAAGGTTATAGTCAACAGTGGGAAGAGATAGGTAATAGGAAGGATGAGAAGAATAATAGTAATTCAGTCTTACTAAGTAGTTTCACAGTGTTGTGGTGTTGGAAGAATTCTCCTTCTGGGTTCAGTTCCAAGTGGGGAAGAAAGACACTGGAAACACGGCGACTGCTCGGAAAGATGGTTTAATGGTGGACAGGATCACAGGCCTTGGGTGAAGAAAGAAGGAAGAGTTTAGATGCTGAGAATCCCTGAGTTTTATACCCTTTTTTAGGATTTGAATTGGAGCTTGTATTCTGATTGGTTGTCAGACTCCCTTGGGGCTATGCAGGGGCCACTCTGTAGGCTGTTTAGATAATAAAATATAATATTAATATATGTAGAATTTTAGAAAACAAAAGATGTATTTCTTTTCTTTTTTTATTCTTATATCTATAAAATGTTTCTAGGATAGATTTGGGAGGATTATATGAATTGTTATAAAATAAACTAAGCAAATTATAGTTATCTCGCCAAGCATGAATGAACGAAATTGTAGTCAAATGATCAATTAATAATGATACTAGGGTATTTAATCTTTGATTGATAATATGAGTTATTATGCAATGTAACTGTAATTGTGACTATGAAATGGATGCACAAAAATTTATAAACCAACCGACACACTTGCTTGTACACTTATGGCTTTGGGCAATTCTTATGATAGCTGGAGTAGATCTTTGTTATGTAAAATAGGCTGGCCTAGGCCAGAGTACTGGTCTATTAGCAAAGGCGGGGGTGAGCTTCTGCTTCTGAGTTTCTACTTCTCTTTTTCGGGGAAATATTCTGCCTTTTAAAATATTTCCCGGGGTATTTCGTTTTTCTAGGAGAGGGGTGAGCGCTAACTTCCTACAATGGGATGCCAATAGAAAGGAAAAACGGAGAAGGTCAAAGAGAAAAGAAGTGCAGGAAGAAGAGAAAAAGAAAGGAAAAAGCTTAGCGTCTTAGCTCCTGAGCCACCGTGTCCCAGTCTCCTTCATTTTATCAGACCCTTTTTATCTGATGAGGTGGGTGTATGGTAGGGTATAAATGTCTCCTACTCTCACTCCAGGGCATTGCTTTCTCCGGAAATGGCTGCTGATGTCGGATCCGGAGGATTTCTCGGTCGGCGCCAGAGGCTACCTGAAAGTCAGCTTATATGTCCTCGGTCCTGGGGACGAAGCCCCCGTGAGTATTTCGATCAAAATGGGGGGTCAAACTTGTAAAAAGGGTATTCCCTCCCAAAGAAACCTCTCCTCCTTAGTGAGGGGCTCTTCAGGTAGGTTGGCCTCGGTGTCTCCCAGCGAAGTCCGCAGCGCGCAACGGAGGGACTACTCCAGCTGGATGCCGGGCAGCGAACCGGTGGCTGGGATTTTTGGAAAAGTGCCTGCAGAGAGACAGGTGGCCCTCTAGGTCAGCGGTTACCAACTCGTGGGCCGGGGACCGCTGATGGCCCACAAGAAAAATTGGGTGATCCGCAGAGAAATGTTCCCTGCCCTCAAAAAGCAACTAATCCAGGCTGTGCAGGAACACAAGGCTATGCCACCCACATGGCCCGCCCACCCGCTAGCCCCTACCCTTCGGCCAAGCGCAAACATTATCTTGAGTAGAGCCACGCAAGCTGGAACTCGAAGGTAAGACCAAGGGCAGGGGAGGGAAATCCGCCCCAGGGTGGCTTGCTGACGTTGGTGGGAAAGTCGGTCCCATATTCCAGATCTGCAGGAGTCACAGGATTGACCCTTTGGCCATCCTGGAGCAACTCTTCCAGTCTATAGTAGGCCGGTGCCCCCCAGGTGGAGGAGAAGCTGCTCCCACCAACGTGTGATGACCCAGGGTGGTCAGGTGAACAGGTGAAGCAGCCCCTTTTATTCCTTCACTTTGCTTCCAAGCTCCAAATCTCCTTGACTGGAGATAAAAAAAACCTCCCACACGAACAGTTACAAGAAGGAGGAAACGCCGTTTAAACTAACAATGCCTATGAATTATAAAAAGTAAAAAACAACACAAACCAGGCAAGATAAGCGCTTGAAGACGTCCACAAATATCAGAATACACACTGGGAGGGACACTAAACTCAGAGAGGAACCATAAACTAGAGATATTTCCATGCTTTGTTTCCAGCACTCGCTTGTATGCATGTTCGTCCTCTTATCCAGTTGTCACAGCTGCAGCCCATGAAGAGGATCAAGGCCCTCTCCTCCCCAGTAGACCATGTATCTCCTTTATCCTCTCCTCCCTGCATGCCCTAGGATGGGGATGGGCCTGGATCCTCCTCTGACTGCCCAGCCCAGCCTCTGCCCTTCCTCAGCCTCCTCCACCACCTCCGGAGCCACACTTCCACTCCCTGTCGGCTGTTCCTCCTCTCCCTCAGAGCCAGTCTCCACCAGGGGCATGACACAACGTCAGCAAGCCACTGTCAGTCAAAATTCATATTAGTGGTCCACAGGGTTTGAAATTATGAGTTTGGGGGTCCCTGAGGTCCCAAAAGGTTGGTGACCCCTGATCTAGGTACCCCCGTGTGAAGGCAGGCAAGTGCTTCATTCGTCCTCTCACTCTCTTCCCAGATGGAGAGGAAGGAAGCTACGGAGGAGAAAGAGGACATCGAGGGGAACGTCTTCAAGCCGCCAGGCGTGGCTCTCCGTGGCGCCCACTTCTCCCTGAAGATCTATCGAGCAGAAGACCTGCCCCAGAGTGAGTGGTGGGGTGAGGAGGGCAACCTTGCTGGGAGGACGGGAAAGGGAGGGAATGGTTTCTGGGCTAGAAGCCCAACTCTGAAGGCCCCCTTCTCTCGGTTGTGGATGATGGGATATCTTATTCAACACTCTGGAAGGCATCTGATTCTGGACGGCTGTCGGGTCTGCTTGGTCCGAACGAGGACAAGGTGACCTGAATTTGATGCTTTTTCAAAGCCCAATTGGGACACTTTTCACGAATGGAGGCAAATCTACGGGGCCCCAGGATAACGTTGCAGGATTCCTGTTGTGGCCCCGATTCCTGAGCCTATGCTGTCAGAGGAAGAGGACCTGGAAGATGAGGAGGAGGAACTGGGAATGCCTTCCTCCCCAGGGCCTTCCTCTCTGATAATGCCTCAGGTTCCATCAGACAACCGAGAGGAACAGCCTGAGATTAATCAGGAGGAAGGCATATCGGAGCAGCCCTTGACAGGGAGTAAGGAGGAAGAGTGTTGGCTTGATCCTAAGCAGCGTCGTAGGGAGAAACGTGAGCAGCAACGTAGGAGGCGTGGGAGGGTCAGAGAGTGAGCTGAGTCATTGAGCCACACCCCACAGGGGATAAAGTGGGTCTGTTTTCTCCTGAAACTTTGTACGGGACAAAGTTTAACCTTACTTCAGATTTTCTTTGTGGACTGCCTTGTGATTTTTTGTGAGTAAAATTTTATTTGCTATCAGTCCGGACTTGGCAGGCAGGACATGTTGGAATGCCAAGAATATTATCAGTTCCAAAGAATTAACTCTGTGAAGTCCGAGCCAGCTTGCCTGCCTGTGTTGGTGTGAGTTTCTACTCTTTCATCTTTTGGGAAAGACGAAAGGCGAGACAGAACAATTCCCAAGGGTCTTAGGATCAAAATCCGGATGCTTGGCAGCTGGTTCGTATTTATGACGGTCTCAGGGTCACCTGATCCCCATTTGCAACCTTCAGACAAACAAAGCCAGATTGACTTAACAACCATGGTACCAACTTAACAACTGCAGTGATTCATTTAACAAGTATGAGTGGAAAAGTCGTAAAATGGGGAAAAACTCACTTCAGAAATGTCTTGCTTAGCAACAGAAATATTGGGCTCAATTCTGGCCATGTCAAGGATTACCTGTACCTCCTTTCCTTCCTCCCTCCCTCCTTCCCTCCTTCCTTCCTCCTCCCTCCTTCCCTCCCTCAGTCCCTCCTT